GAAGATATTCATTCTCCTGAGTTGAAAATCCTTCAGTGGACATGTATTTCACTCAATCTTAACACTCTTGAGCTGCTGTGAGAGATTCTGTAGAGACGAGCTGAGCAACACTCCCCATTAAAGACCAGAGCATTCAAGGAGGTCGTCCTCCAGGAGTTTTAAACAGCACAGATGTGAAAATTTGTCATGAACTTGTACACTCAGTGCCAAGAAGTGTCAGAGCAGTGTACTTGGAGTTATGGAGGACATATTAAGTTCTAGAATATTACACTTGGTTGAATTAAATCTAGGTTGTACTCAATTCTGCAATCCTTAATTTAAACAAAAATTGGCTAAGTTTCTTATTTTACAGATATTAATGGCATGTATTTCTCTGTTTTTATTAAGAATATGTTTAATACATTTAAATGTTGCCATCTTTCTATGAATTATATTAGTGATCGTTAAGCGTTAAGAAAATACATCTTTTATATTTAATCAGAGGGGGTGTACTCATTTATGCTGTGCACTGTATATATATACATGTATGTATATATGGCTGCCAGTAAATAAAGTTGCTTTTTTGTGTCCATATGGTGTAATTATAACATCTACCAACAGGGGCTTGATGGACCAAGCTAACCATAAAAATCTTAACCTTTTGACCTGGACAGCCTCATGAATCACATGACCAGCCACGTAATATTTATTTGAGCTTGGTAAGACCTTTAAATAAGAACATGTCTACAATGTACACGTGTCGTCATTTTTTTCGTTTTTACTGGAGGAACAGCATCTTCACTGAGATGCAGCTGCAGTCTTGTGAGAAGCTTTTGTGGTAACGCTTTAGATTACAACCCGCAATGTACTGCGTAAGTAAACAGAATTGACAATTTACAGCGTAACTTTTTTGTAATTACAGTGTACCTATTCAGTACCTCCGTGTAGGTATAAGGTAACAATATGCGAAGTTTGAAGAGTAAAGGAGTAATAATCAGTAAAATTACAAATTATTTCTACTGTAAGTATTTTGAAACTAAGGGGTGCCTATTAAGTATGTATGACCTCTTATATTTGCAAGCGATTAAGCAAAAACATACACTGTATACTTTTTTATAGCCTACACATATAAAACACGCTGGTAATTGTTTCAATCCAAACGCTTGGTTGAGACTGTGGGGTTAGGAAGCTGGCTTCATGTGACCCGATTTGGGTTGATACAAGTAATAACCCGATGTTGCTGGGTTATGAATGTGGAGGACGTGAATGAGAGCATGCAGCAAGTCACGCGAGTTCAAACGTGAACGGCTCTGTGTGGGACGAAATCCGTGTTTGCGGTGCTAAAGACGGGAACATGTGTGGAAAATAGGAGAAAACGAATCGAAGCGCAGACAAAGGACAACTTTGAAACTGTCTGGAGTGTGTTCCTTTAAAACTGCAGCAGTGAATGTGGTGAGTGCGAACTGGAAACAGCTGGAATGGCGCATGAGACGAGTCTATCCGTGTTTGCGGCGCTCATGACAGGAATATGTGCATTGAACCTTGATGGTATATCATGCAAAGTTATTTGGTGATAGTGGTGTTGAGAAGTTGCTGGTGTGAAGTTGCTGAAATCGACGAATAAGCTTTCACAAGGTAAGTAGACTTGTGAATTATAAATCATAGAAACTCATTAACTCATTTCACTAGATGTCCAGTTTTGTTGTTCAGTAATCTCCATCAAGTCCTTCCTTTAATAATAGAATGTGTACCCCTTGGTTAAAAAATACCTATAAGCCTATAATAAAATACCAATATAAAATTAAAAAAGTATATATCGTCTTTCTAAATCATTCACAAACATAAGATTGTTGTTCAGGCCATACATACCACGTAATATTAGAATAAGCACCTCTTAGTTTCAAAATACTTACAGTATAAATGATATGTAATTTTACAGGTTGTTACCCCTTTATTCCCCAAACTTCGCATATTGTTCCCTTATACCTACACGGAGGTACTGAATAGGTACACTATAATTACAAAAAAGTTACACTGTAACTTCAGTTTACTTACGCAGTTCTTTGCAGGTTGCATATCTGGTTGTTACCCCCTTATTACCCAAACGTAACACGTTGTTCCCTTATACTTACACGTACATTCATTTATAGGTACACTATAATTACAGAAACGTACACCGTAAATTCAGTATACTTACATAGTTCTTTGCGGGTTGTAATCTAAAGCGTTACCGCTTTTGTTTAGTACTGCACATGGTATTTCTTGTGCTGAAATCTGCTGATAATGTGAAGCCGCAGAGACAGACCCTTTGTGTTTCAACATTTCAACACATTCTTAATTCTTTTTGGCTGTTTATGTAATTATTAGCTTGATGATTTATGTTTTTAAGTAACTGTTTTCCACCAACACAATCCTCACGTTAAGGTTTTGGAGTGGTCTTTGGAGTCTCTTTCTTATTGTTGAATCATGAACACTGACCTTAATTGACCTTAAGTGAGGCCTGCAGTTCTTTAGATGTTGTTCTGGGTTCTTTTATGACCTGGATGAGTCGTCGTTGCGCTCTTGGAGTAATTTTGGTTGGCCGGCAACTCCTGGGAAGGTTCACCACTGTTCCAAGTTTTCTCCATTTGTGGATAATGGCTCTGACCATGGTTCACTGGAGTCCCAAAGCCTTAGAAATGGCTTTATAACCCTTTCCAGACTGATTCTTGTGAACTGTTTTGTTTCTCATCTGTTCTTGAATTTCTTTAGAAAAGAAAATTTTCTTTTCTTTTCATTTTCTCGGCATGATGTGTTGCTCTTTAAGCATGCTTCACTTTGTCAGACAGGTTCTATTTAAGTGATTTTTTGATTCAACAGGTTTGGCAGTAATCAGGCCTGAGTGTGGCTAGTGAAATTTAACTCAGCTTTCTAAAATAATGTGGTTAATTGCAGTTCTTTTATGATTTGACAGGAGGGGGCAATTAATTTTTCATGTAGGTTTGGACAGATTTTTTCCCTTAATAAATGAAATCATTATTTAAAAACTGCATTTTGTATTTACTTGCATTATCTTTGTGTAATATTAAAATTAGTTTGATGATCTGAATCTTTTAAGTGTGACAAATATGCAAAAAAATGTAAAACAGGAAGGGGGCAAAAACCTTTTCACAGCACTGTATATTACAATTGTTTTAACAAGGAAAGTGAGAAAACAATTAGTCAAACAATTAGCCATGCATTTTTTTAATTGCAAGCAACAATTGCATTATGTTAGTAAATGTATTACCTTTCACAAAATTAATTTGTTTGTTTAGTTTACAAAGTAATATAAAAACAAACAAAAAAAACGTTCCCTGGAGTGACACGTTAATAAACTTTTCTATAGGCCTACCCCTCTGATTATATAATGGTAAATATTACAATATCATAGCACAACAACAGTGATCAGCAATAATGATAAGCTTAATACTCACAATAAAAATAATAAGGTCATATAGATCATAACACAGTCTTGGAGGTAAGAAGTGGATTATCCTTCACCTGAAATGTTTGTCTTTTCATCCTGAAATGCGAGGCAAATGTTGGATCACAATAATTAGGAACCACAGTTTCCACAAATCCCTTCATTTGATTGGGATGTTCTCTTTTATTCTGGAGGGCAAGGGCAATGACTGTACCATCGAGCGTATTTTGCAGTATTAAACACGTATTTATACCGATTTCATCAGGCTCCGAGAACTCTTCAAAAAGAACACAAAGAATGGCCTTCTCAGCTGCCATAGCTTCTTGCGTCATCAGAACAGGGTGTTCAACGCACCACCGTTTCCGTTTAAAACACGTTTTGCACCGTTTTTGTCGGGGCTGAACGCAGCCCAGACTTCACAGCCGCGCGCCTTTCAGACTTTCAGAGCACGAGACAGTTCATCTGAGATCCGCTGCTTCACTCGGCTGCTTCTAACGGAACTCACGGTGAGAGTGCTGCTCTTATACTAATTCTCGTGCTTTAAAGAATGTGTTATATCCTGTATGTTTGCGCAAATATTTTGACGGAAACATATTACGAAGCTTTTATTATTATTATTATTATTATTATTATTATTATTATTATTTCGCTCGGTGGTTTCAGTAAGATAACAACTTTTGCCTCTTCGTCCTTTTCTATCCTTATTACCTTTGAAGCATATTTTTCATTTGTATTATTTTTAAATATCAAATTAGTTTTGTCGCCTGAAAACTGTATGGATAACAGCTTTCTTTTCAAATTTGACCATTAAGAAAAGCATTTTCACGTGTTGTCTATGCGGGATACACCACGTAAGCAATCGCCATCTCTTCTAAATATACTTAAATTATTTATAAGCAATTTCATTTTTTCGTAAAGTGTTCATGGTATTTTATAAAGAGGAGGAATAGAAAATGTAGGAGAGTGCGTCTGTGCGCGCGCACCTGCGACTGCACATGATTGATCGAATCGTTATGTTCATAATTGTGTGTCTTGAATTGAGTGGGCAGCTGAGTTTGAAAGCATGCAATTACATATGAATTTCAATTAGACTCCAAAGAAAGCTCTTCTCTTTCTGCACACATAATTAAACATCAACTTGGTCCATCCATGTGACTTTTTAAAAATGAAAAAGAATGTAAAATGATATAGTAGAAATCTGTTAATCCTTAAAAGTAAATTGCCTTGTCACATAGGCTACAGTATGGGCATATATAATTATATTTGATAAGACAATACATCATTTTACTGTAATGTAATGTAAAAAAAAAAAAAAAGTTAAAATATATATAGCTAAGGCAAAATGTATACTTTTACAATCAAATATTGTTACAGTTATTAATTTAATAATTTACATATTGTCTTTATTGGCCACAGTTGCTGGAATGGTAAATTTTTAGGAACTTTAAGTCATCGTCTGGTCTTCTATTGTGTTATTATCAGTCAATTTTATGGTAATAAACCAATTTTAATAGCTCAAATCGGTAGGTATAATTAACATTATATAATTTAATTTAATGACGTATACAGTACATGGACTGCAACATATACAGGAACAAAAATGCCATCCAGTAATACTTATAACATCATCACTTTGTACCTTAAATTTTATAACCACAGATTGCAGTTTTCTACTGTAAATGTAGCAACAATTAATTGTACAGTTCTGCAAAACTGTGATTCTGTGACTTTAGAAGATTGTTTTAGATGCATTTTTTTTTCTGGCCCCAATAAATGCTTGAATCTCATGTGGGCTCTATTGTCATACTAACACAGCTGCACAGCTCATAAATGGTGTTGAGAAGTGTGATATCCATATGTCTTCTTGGTCATTCGTTTCCATCATTTGGTAAAAAAAATTTTTTCAACATTATTGTAAACCTAAATTGTTGCTTGGTAATTGTGTTTTCCAAATATGTGCTGTAATTACAGAGCCACTCTCCTAAAGAATGATGTTTTTAAAGATGATACATTATTGATCATGCCACACAGTGGTATCAAGACAGTGACTGCACAATGCTGAATGAATGTCAAAGAAGTCTGAATGACCTTCTGCTGATTCTTGCTAGAGGGTGATTGTTAAGAGAGAGCAGATGCTCCGAAGGTAGACCATCTCTGAATCACTTACAATCGTTTTGGCTATTAAGAGACCCCATATCAGATCAATAAAGACCTTTGTGTGATTTCTTCTCCAGCCTCAATCTCCTGCTGGCTAACTGGGAATCAGTCTTGGAGACAGCAGGTCTATTGCTTAACAAATGAGTCTTTCTCTCCCGCTTATCTTGTACGGGAACTGCTTTGACTCAACAGAGACATTTCCGTGCGGACTAGTTTTACGGTTGATGTCATATGGCATGATTCTGTTCCATTCTTTTTGTTATCTTCACACCTCGCAACATGCCTGTAGAGACTGCACTCCCACTCAGGAGTGTGTGTGTGCTTTTGTGTCTGACTGTTTTTGGGACAGGATGAAGGAGTTTTCCCTGCTGTGAGGATGAGGAGCATTCTGCCAGGATGCTCAGCTAGAAGATAAGGAGGCACATTGCAGGGAGCCAGTTGTGATACTGCGAAACAGAAGCGATATTTGATGGAGCACCACATGTGTTGTAAGCAGTCACATTGGAGTCATGATCTCTCTCTATATTTCCCTCAGCTCTTGGCACCAGATGGATCCTCCTAATGGCAGTTTTAACACTTAGCCTGTTGTTATGCCTTTTGTGCCCTTGACACTTTTAGAGCTGCCAAAACGAACAATGTGAGGTGTGAAATTGCTGAAACTGTTTGTCAAGAGATGGGTGCTCTCGTTTGTGTGGGTTTATTTCCCTCTTTTGAAGCATTCTTTTGTAATTTTAGGAGGCTGCCTGTGAAATCTTAATGTTTCAGCCAACCTTATCTCAGATTCTCAGTGCAAGATGGGAACGATGCAATTTGCAAAACTAAGCACTTGTTTTTCCCTCTTTGATTGATCTTAGTCACAAATAATGTGCTTATACAGACCAACACACCAGCAGTGCAATATCTGACTTCCATTAAAAATAAATTGTGACAAAGCAATACTCTTTACCTGAGTGGAGTATGAAATTGTACTTATGATATTTGAATTACAGTGATATTATTGGTGTCATTATAGACTTTCCACATTTAGTCCAAGGATTATGGTTGGCTTGATGCCAGAATTTTGGTTTTGGTATAATATTAGTCCCTGGTACCTCAGAATTGATACTAAAATCAATATCTCAATACAAAACGACAGTAGGTAGACTGTTAAATATGCATAATAATGGATACATTTATAAATCTAATGATTTAAATGCTGTCATGTATAGGCAGATAAAGGTCATCTTTAAATCAGGGTTATAGAATGAACAACTTAAAAAGCCCATCAAACCTATTCAATAACTCAGTAATAAAGCAAATGAATAAAATCTATTTATAATCAAATTATTACCTACCATCAAATTATCAAGGTGCATCTCAGCATATTTTTCCACTTGTTCCACTTCAAATATTCCAGAACTTAAAATATATTGTAATTAATTCAATTAACAATTAGCTTAAATGCACTCAAATTAGACAGAAAAGCCAAATTCCTGCATTAACTTTCTTAAATTAAATTGTATGTTAACTTTTCTTGTATGTCTATATACAATACAATTTGTAGCAAAATATCTTTGAGGCTTCGCAATAGTGCCACCCTTTCTTGATGGCTATGACTGTCTTCACTGTCTGGCAGATTTGGTGGGTGTGAATCTGCCGTGGGCAGCATCCCCTCATATTATTTGGAGTGCAGCCAATTGCTTCTACACACCAAACATGATCCGATCCTAAACACCATAACTAAGGTAGACCTATAATTCCCGGAATAGAAACTAATTAGAGTTAGCTGCTATTGACTGAGAAAATGTTCTCTGTGTCCCATATGTGGTCTGTTTTCACTTCATTCAGCATCAGAAAACTCACACAAAGATGTAACCTTCTTAGATCTTCCAGTTGAGAAAGAGAAAAGGCTTCAACCTTTCATCCCGTTGAAAAGTTTTTTTTTTGTTCTTCTGCTTCCTGGAGGTAGCAGGATTGCAACAGATGGCTTATAAAGCCCCAGATCTCAGCAGGAGGAGATGTTGAAGACCTCACAGTGGAAGCCCTCCCTCCTCTTGAGATGTCAGTGAGTTCATTAGTGAGCTCCACATTCCTTTCAAACTTTTGCACAATATCATGCAAGTCGCTTGTGGAGGCTTTTATCAGTTATTCACACAGTAGTAGGATCTGAAGTGTCTGAACACCATGTTGTGCTCAAACATACCCTCTGTGGTAACTCCACCGCCTCACTGTTTTCTTTCTGGGATTTTTTTTTCATTCTCTTTCTGGGTCTGGGTCTGGTTGTCTTTTGCTGAGTTTCCAGCACCATGCTGGGCTCCATGTTGTGACCCTTTGCTGAATATCCTGTATGATCATAACTTGTCTGCTGTTACTCTACAAACAGCAGAAGTACTACCGCATGAATCCACTGAGATCTTTGTTTGTTGTATTGCTATACTTCTATGTCTTGTATCTCATATGCATGTGTCTGTGTTTGTGATTTGTTTTTTGTGATACTACAGAGGATCTGTTGGTTACTGGAATGTGTTTCCAGGATGTATATTTGATTATTTCTGTTGGATGGACGGGAAATGTCAAAGAAATTGAATATTCTTTCTATGCATTAAAAAAAATATATTCAATACTTTAGCTTGGTGATTTTTAACATGCTGATGACATGTCAAAGTTACAGTATTATATAGTTTGACTATTTAATGTCTTCTTGATTCACTAAGGCAGGGATTCCCAAACATTTTTGCTGCTTATTAATAGTTAGTAAGGTAGTTGTTAAGTTTAGGTGTGGGGTAGGATTAAAAGATCTAAAATATTGTCATGTAGAATAAGGCATTAATAAGTGCTTAATAAATAACCAATATGCTAGTAATATGCATGCTAATAAGAAACTAGTTAATAGTGAGAAGTTTTCCTTAAAATAAAGTGTTACTATATATATATTTTATTTTATTTATTTATTTTATTTGGACCAGCAACGTCCTAGCAACCACCCTGAGCAACCACATAACAACATGATAATAAACACTCAGAACACCTAACCATAGTAGCATGGTACTGTACTGTATAAGCCATTCAGATCACCTTGGTAATCACCAAGAACACAGTGATACTCACCACTCACATTTAATGAGGGTAAAATATATAGCATTCTCCTGAAAAGGTGAAAATCAGCAGTAATTATTAGTACCGAGCTTTTTGAGCTAGTAAAAATTAGCATTGCAGATGTATCAAAAAATGTATATTTACTCTCTTGTTTTGATCAAGGCCTTTTCAAAATCTAGAAACCACATTTTGATAAACAGCCATTGAATACAGAACAAATAGGCAACATTTTAGCCAATGGCTGTATTATTGATTTTGCACAGCCCAGCATCTTTATAAATTGTGCATTGGATGGTTCCCCATCCCCCTCAACATCTCTCTTTCTTGTCATCTCATGGTCAGCATCTCACCTTATGGATGAGCCCTGGGCCTTTGCCATCTCTTGCCAGATGTTGTATATGTTATCCATGGCTCCTGTTTAAATGGTGTGTGGTCTTTGTGGGTGAGGTCCTACCAAGCCCAGCAGGGTGTATAGCTCCCACATCTCAAGACTTCATTGCATCCCATCATTCAGCTCCCTCAAAGCTCCACCTGTTAGTCACATGACAGTAGGCAGTTTTTGTATGGGATCAGCATGAATCAAATCAGCCAGAGCCTTCAAGATTTTTCAGGAATCTGAGCAGCCTTCAGGCATTTTTGCTTGTTTGTTTGTTTATTGTTTACACTGTTTTTTTTTTTTGGGGGGGGGGGGGGGGGGGTATCTTTACTGTTGTTTTTTTGTGTGGTGGATGAGAGACTAATGAGCTACTAACAAACACACTTGTCATACTAACAAGTGCTTATACTGAATAGAGCCCAGCAACTGTGTGGAGACTAAAGCTCAGTGGTCGCTCTAAACTCTATCTGGTTGTGTACAACTGACTGACACAGCCCAAAGCACTCAGCCCAAAGCACTCAGTGTGTATTCCCAAATGAAGCACCTGCAATCTTGATACAAATGTCCTCTGGCAGGTGTTTTGCTACCCAGGCTTATATGCAATTTCCTTCACTTAGTCTTTGTGGACGGGTTCTTAAATAGCCCACAATAAAGTCCTCTGGTTAGCAACCCTACACAACAATATCTGCAGGGTGTGAGGTGCATTTGCGTGTCTGTGGCTGATGAGGCTGGTCCAACTATTGACCCACATGAGCTCAATACCCCATCCCCATTGATTTATCATACGCCGCTGTCTTCACAGAGCAGAATGCCTGCCTGAGCAGGTTGCCAGGTTGATGAACTACCCCCGCCCACATTAAAGAATGTCTCAGAGAGACCTAAATAAGCTAATGCTGACACCAACACAATGTAAGCACACACCCCTAAGCCCACAAAAGCGTGGGAAATAACTCAATACAAGCACTAATTGATACTAATGCTAATGGTAGCACTAACACAATGTTAAAACCTGTATGTACACTGCCATATCTCTGGATGAGAGTACGTAGCAAAGATTGGTGGTAGAAAGTTTTCCTAAACCTTGCTGTGTGTGCATGCAAGACATTTTTTAATCTGATTGCGAAAGTGAAAAATATATAATATAAACCATGGCATATCAAACGCTCCTCATTACCACCCAGATGTACCAAACCCTTCTCATTAAATTCTGCTTAATTTCACTGAGCTTGATTCATTACCTAAATCACAGCACTGAGATACCAATTATAAGGCAATAATGGTGAGAGATGGAGCTGCAATTTAAGTTTTGCTATCTTAATGGTCTCACCAGTTGCAAAGGCAATGAAGAGTAATGTTCTCCTCTGATAATTTTACTAGCATCTTAAAGGCGGCAATAAGAATTTAGGAGATTTTTAAAGATGTACTGTATGGAATTTGGATGATCATTTATTAATCCAGCCCAAATGAATTATAGGTGTACTCATTCATTTTCTATTGAATACATTTTGCATATAAAGAAACTTTTGTGAAATATGATTAACATGATGCACACTCACATATCCAGTCAAGTCATATCCAGAATGTTGAGATTAAGCAATCTGACGACTGAGGTACTACTACTACTAATCTACTACTACTGCTACTACTGCTACTACTACTACTACTAATCTACTACTGCTACTACTACTACTCCTAATCTACTACTACTACTACTACTACTACTACTACTACTACTACTACTAAAATAATAATAATAATTTTAATTTCTGACTGTAAAAGTAAAATGTTGCTGCAACAGCAATTAAACAAGCTGTGACAAATCCTACCACACGCAGCAGCCACAGTCGCCACCCCACAAATTTTTGGTCCATAAAACAGCCTCACAGCCAAAAACTGTAGCCTTAATCGGATGCCGGAATAGAGCTTTTGGCAAAGCTCTGCAATTCAGAAGACAGCCATGCACCAGAATGAAACATATGTTAAAAAATGAAAAAGATGTTCCATTTGTGAATGTAAGCAATAGATATAAGATAAAACTCGATGTTGACTGGGCTTAAATCGAAAGTAATTAACTGAAAATTCATTATTTCTTTTGAAGTTATTATCTGTGCCTTTCTAAATAAGAGCTTCAAGTACATCTCTAATAGATATCTTTTCAGTTTTACATCTGATGCATTAATTAAATTGGCCCAAACTGTCTTACAAGGAATCTTTAGCATTATGTGATTTTCGTTTGGAATAAAATGGACTCGTTGGGCAGATTTATATTTCTTGCTCTCTTTCTCACTTGCCGATAACATTTACATGTATGCATTTGATCAGTTCATGAATCCCCTGGGAATCAAACCCATGACACTGGCATTTCTAGCACCATGATCTACTTTTTGAGCATGGTTATCATTCGTGGAAATGTGGTTTGGTCACACAAGCCTGACACCTCATAAACTGGCTAAGCCATGAAGTATAGCCTTACTGCAGCATTATAAACATGACAAATCATCAGAAATATAAAGATATCTTAGATGTAAAGTTAGCATGCTTGTATCACTGGTGCCAGTCTTAAATGCAAGGATGGATGCCTGCCATTTGAGGTAACGTGACCAGCTCTCAGGGACAAAAGACAGAGTAAATAAAGGGGCCAGATTTACTGAGGGGAGCATCTGAGGATGAGAGCAGACCTCGGATGATCAAAGTAAGACCCGTGTCACTGATTTGCATGGTGAGATGCATGGTGAGAACCTCCTCATAAGCTTGACTTTGATATGCCACCTGAGGAAAGAGTCTTCCTTTGGATCCTCTTGTTCTTGGCCTATGGGAATCCAAACCTGAAATTTAGTCTGGCAAGTTTTCTCAACACATTTAGGTTGCCTTTGAGCTCTTGTTTATTTCATGTCAAAGCAAAGCCATTATTTAAATATGAAAGTATATTTGTGGGTGTTTGGTTTGAGATGTCCTGATTTAAAATGCAAAAGTTTACTTGAAAATCCTTTAAAGTTTTTCGTATTTTTTTTTCAGTTTTGATTAATTTAAGCTTAGCTAACTAAGCTAAGTTATAATAAACATTATTATCAGGGCATATTGGCTATAACATTCAAACTTATATAGCTGGATTCTTGGATACATGGTCAAACAGTGAGATGCACACCGGATGTTATAAATATCTATTTACCAGTGTGTCAATTATGGTTAATCTATTAATTTATTCAATAATATATTACTAATGTAATTCATACATACACTGAAAATGCTTTTTACATGATGAGCATCCTTTAATTTTTGGAATAATAATAATAAAAATAATAATTCTTAGCATCCTTAATATTTGAAATATTAATGAAATTTAAATATTGATATTATTGCCATGTAATATTGCCAAACGAATGTGGTGCAAGAAACCAATGGTTCAACCAACAGAAAAAAAGGAAATTATATCATAGAGGAACCACACTAACCTTAGTTCTTGTTGTAAAATGTGGTCACACTTTAGTTTAGAGATCTCATGATTAACTAGTTTCATATTAGCATGCATATTACTAGCATACTGGCTGCTTATTAGTAATTATAAAGCATGTATTCTGCATGGCCATGTTCTACATCCCTTAATCCTACTCCGTACCTAAACAACTACATTACTAACCATTAATAAGCAGTAATTTGTTTATTGAGGCAAAACTCGTAACCTAAAATGCCAGGTGTTGTTGATGATATATGTAAAAAAGTATATTTAATAAGCTTTTCTCAAAATAATAATTAAGGTGTGTACACTTACATGTATTCAAAGTGCAAAAGTCTGACCTGATATTGCCCTAAACAACAGGTTGTGCTGTGTTTGAAGATGGCGGCTCCCGGCTTTTGTCGCCTCTTAGTTCTGCTCCTCATCACACTGTCACACACCTTGTACAGCTCTGAGATCCCATCTGAAAATGCCAAACGGAGTCTGGCCCTGTCTTCCACCTCTGATTCCAAGCAAGACCATGACATGGGACTTCTGGGCGGCAGCCAACGACGGAGACACTGGTCACGTAAAGACAGGGATAGTGTTGTGCTTCACTCTCAAAGGCCACTGGATCGACCGGAGGATGATGGGACAAGTCTGGAGGGTCTAAGCCCTGTAAGGCTGGAGATAGGGCCCGGGGACAGTATGAGGACGGAGGTTCATGAGGAGGTCAGGGGTCCTGCTCATATGCGGCGGGGAAATCATCCAACGAAGGGAGAGTTCAATCGTAAAGGCAGGAGACATGGCCACGGGCATCAGGCTGATCACAGAAAACAGGGAGGCAAAAGAGGCAAAGGTCGAGCTAAAGGTAATTGAGATTTGCTGAATTTTCTACTTAGTTAATATGAGTCATATATTGCAATGTGCAAGAAATTATCCCCCATATTTCTGTTGCTAAAACATCTATGCCAAAAGGACAAAGGAATCACAGTGGTGCCAATTTTTTTTTATTTTTAAGTGTTCAGTCTTTACAAGAATCAACTAAGACCTCTTTTGGTTATCACTAGGGTTGCCAACTAAAATAAAATATGGGACAATCGTAGTTTTTCATAGAAAAATAAGACACACACACACACACGTGTATATATATATATATATATATATATATATATATATACTGTCTATCCAAATTGTATGCAAATTGGCAGTCATCTTTGACGATAGTGGTCTTGACAGAAATCTAGCGTAGCGTTAGTTCTGGCAGGTCACATTAGTCAAGCTCGCATCAGCTGACTCCCAGCTGATCCACGTCTACCTATAGGGATGCGACACCTATCATAGCACTCATATACTGTATAAGGTCCTTCAGTATTATCACCAGCTTCGGATTGCTCAATAGCTAATTACTGTACACACCACCATCCCCGACTCCTCCTCTTTTCAGTCGGGATTCAGCCTTCTGATTTTCCTTTGAATCAGACTAATTCTAAAATGTGTACTTAAAATTATTGAACTTTAACAATATCTGCAATACATTTGTGTTGGTTCTGTTCTGTTTACCCTGGGGGGCGGTTAGTGCTGCGCTCCCTGCTCTCATCCATGCTAGGCTGCATGGATGCGCAGGGAGTTCTTGCCCAGAACAGAACCATACCGGCAATCCAAACTGTATGCTAATTGTCAATCATCTTTGACGATAGTGGTCCTGACAGAAATATATATATATACAGTGGGTACGGAAAGTATTCAGACCCCCTTACATTTTTCACTCTTTGTTATATTGCAGCCATTTGCTAAAATCATTTAAGTTACTGTATATATATATATCTATTATTTAAAAAAAAATTCAGTTAAAGAGAACATAGATTTAATATGGGCTGCTTTTGGTGCTTGACACTTTTTTATTTGTCATTTTGTGTTTCAAGAATAAGGTCCAAGGTAAAGCATACGCTAGAAGTTACTGAAATGTAAAATGTTTTTCTCTATTTAGCATTACATCTTCTCTCAGGTAGATTAGGCTACATGTTTTCTTGCGCGGCTGGATGTTGGAGTCATGAAAAATAATCACGTTGTTTGCATTCGCCAAAACGGATTTGCTGAAAACAAAAAACACTGACGGTGACGGTGACGGTGAAGCGAGAGTGACCAGCCGGCAGAGGATTCTGCTTTGTCTTAAGCCTTCCTCATACAGTTATGTTCACAATTTGTGATTTACTTATTGCATACTGATCATGCGTGCGAGGGGGCTGTGACTGGATGATGACAGGTGTCGTGATCAGCATAGCAGTCAATCAACGGGACAAGGGAGGTCACGTATGGGACAAATCAATTAGGCCCAATATACGGTTATCACAAAAAAATGTAAAAGTTAAACCTGTATGCTTTACATTTGGTGAAAAACTTCAGGTAGTCTTCTAAGTCTTTTTAGTTGACAACAGGTTTATGAACAATTCTCGTTAGTAATCTGATAAAATTCTAAAATTTATGTTTTTTTTTAAATTTGAGCAATTATGTAAATGTAAATGAACACAGTGCCGCGCTTCACTCTGAAAAATGCTCTAAATCACAGCCTTTCTTTTATTAATTGCACTAAGCCAAGTCATTTTATTTCAATTACTTGTACAGACCTATTTTTCAATCTCTGCTTTTTTCCATATATTGAAAGCTTATAGTAACCAATGACTGTCAGTTAGTCAATGCTTGTGTACTACATTTAAAGTCAGCTGAAGCTATATGAGTGAATGGCCAAAAAGTTGTTACCCACAGGAATGACAGGCAACATGTAATTACACACTTAAGTGGTAATATAGCACCTAAAACTACTTTCATGATGCTTTTTGGAACTTGGCAGCACCTTTTCACAATAATCTATGGCTATTTAAAGAGCAGAGGATCCTTCAAAATGTCTCATTTGTGTTCCACAGAAGAAAGAAACTATAGTTTGGAACAACACAATGAAGTACATGTTGACAGAATTGTTATTTTTGGGGTGAAGTCTGTATTGGCAGAGTGACAGATCCAAACTTTCCCTGCTCACTGGCAGGTAGATATAGTATATTATTTCAAATGTATCCAGCTAAGCACACATTCAGTTTCAAGCCACATTCAAATAACAAGAATTACATACACTACTTGGTCCACTACTGGAAATCAGTCTTAATTTGATTAATGTGATTAATGATTAATAGAAAGTAAAAAAAAAAAGAACAGCATTTATTTGAAATAGTAACCTAACATTATAACATAATAGTTTCAATGATAGCATCATCACAGCTTTCTCAAAAATATTAAGCACCACAACTGTTTTCAACATTGATAATAATCAGAAATGTTTCTTGAGCAGCAAATCAACATATTAGAATGATTTTTGAAGGGTCGTGTGGCACTGAAGACTGGAGTAATGATGCTGAAAATTCAGCTTTGCTGCAGGAATAAATGAAAAAAATGACACATTTTAAAATATATGTAAAAGACAACAGTTATTTTAAATTGTAATAATATTTCACGGTTTTGTTGTTTTTACTGTATTTTGATCAAATACATGCAGCCTTAATTGGCAAGCATAAGAGACTTATATAAAAAAATATAAAAAAACTTTTTCACTGTATAGAATTAAATATATTTAACAATAAAGCTCTGAGATGTTCAATAAGCCTATGGGGTAGAGTAACATTGGGTTTGATTCTGTGTCTATAAGTAGCCATATGAGATGTTTGCCAGGTCTAAACTACGAATACTAATTTTTATTAAAGACCAACCATAGTTTCTCTCTCTTTTTCTCCTAGGGGATCTCTATGACCCTGAACCTGAATTAAGCTCCTTGTTGAAGGATATGAATGCATTTGAGGATGATTTTTTCACCTCCCCGTCCAATCACGACAATGCCCCACTCACTGAAGCTCCCTCCCCTCTCTTCCCCATTTTGGTAACCACGGCAATCAACGAGCATCCCCCAACACTGTCCCCAGCCTCCACCAAACCCCAGGTACCCTGGCAAGCAGAAGTGTCCTTGAATATGAAGGTCTGTTGTGTTGTCCAGAGTGTTTCATTTCCTAAGATGCTGTTATTCTCTCATTTACACAGAGGACTATGTTCAATATGTCCTGAAGCATTTTTGCATTGTTTGATTGTTTGGAGGGGGGGGGGGGGGGAGTTTATATATATATATATATATATATATATATATAATATAAGATCTTTGTTAAACAGTTCACCAGCATCCTGGTTTTATTGTTAGAAATACTTAATGGCATTACTCTTGGGACGTTTTGCTGCTTTCAGCCTGCGTTAAACTGCCTTGAGTCTTTTTCCACTCTGTCATTTTGTTGTTAGATCCCAAAATGAACATCTTCATTTGAACCGCACACTGTGGCAGATATAGACACTGAAATGCTGTTTGGAGCCAGTAGTGGAGGTACTTGTCAACCTTGTGGTGTGCAGCACTTCATCAGACAGATTTATTTACCTGTGCTTCTGTGCCGTGCTTATTATTGAGTGCCGCCCGGGGCTGGATCATACACAAGTAAAATTACCCAGCTCGCTTTGCACGAGGGAGGAGGTGGAGGAGGGGAGCTGTCACCAGAGCGAGTGAGGGGTGAGATGTCGCTCGCCCATCCTCCTGCTCCTCTTTTTCACAGCCATCTGTTCTGCTCCATTCTCCTCCCTGGATCTCTTTTTACCACTCCCTGTATATATTCAGATTCTCTTGAGGGGCATCACTAGGCCTGGATACTGATATTAATAAAAACTACATTTGCATTTCCTTAAGGAAATACAAACGCTTACAAAGCAGCAAAAGAATAGTGTTTTTGCTAAAATAATCCAGAATGGAAAGTACGCTGCCAGAATGAGACACAGAGAGATGAGCATAAGCTGATACTGGTGAAAATTCTATGACTTAAAGTCAATAGGTGATTTCCAAATTTTAATCTTAAAGGGGTCATATGATGCGATTTCAATTTTTAGTTTCTCTTTGGAGTGTTACAAGCTCTTGGTGCATAAAGAAGGTCTGTAAAGTTGCAAAGACTAACGTCTCAAATCCAAAGAGATATTCTTTATAAAAGTTAAGAGTCAACCACGCTCCCTCCTAAAGCGGCTCGTTCTAACATGCCCCCACATATCTACATCACTATGAGGGAAGATTTGCATAACGCCGCCCAAATGTTCATGCAAAGAAAGAAGGCGGAACTTTTATTTCATGAAGAAGCTGTGTGTTTCGTTGTGAATGCGAAACTACTTTGTTGGCCTTCCAAAAGAGGATACGACTAGAAATCAGTGGTTAAGTTGTATTTACAACACTGTTCTGGAACAGTTCAACCCAAATATTCAGATGTGTGCAGCGCATTTTATGAAGGACTGTTTCCTGATCCTGGGAGAGTAGACTGCTATGCCGGCTGTTCTGACTCACAGACTGTAAGTACGTTTTTTTATATTTAAAGAATTTGCCACTGACGATTCAAACGGGAGTTTTGAGCAGTGTAGCATAGCACTTGTTGTTTGTCATTTCTCCGATCACAAATGCAGACATGGTTTTATGTTTACAATGCAACGCGTAAAAAGACAGTATAAATCATTATAATCTGTAATTATGTCCCCACTGGATGCAACAAATGCCTTGTTTATAATGGGTTTGAATGTATTTGTCTCGTTGCTCCTGCCAGACGGCATCACAATATGGTAAGAGGCGTAACATTTCCATCACACGCTTGAGGTATTCGGCCAATCACAACGCACTGGATAGCTGGCCAATGAGAGCACACCTCGCTTTTCAGACCGATGAGCTTTGTAAAAATCAACGCGTTTCAGAAAGGCGGGGCATAGAGGAGAAACAATAATGTACAGTATGTGGAAAAGAATGTGTTTTTTGAACCTTAAACCGCATAAACATATTTCATTACACCAAATACACAAAATAATGTTCTTTTTAGCAACATCATATGACCCCTTTAAGTAGATCAAATTCTCAGGTATCAATTTATTTAATTTAATTTAATTTTTTATTGTATTTTATTTAATTTTGTTGTATTTTATTTTATTTTACTTTACCTTACCTTACCACACCACAATGGTAATGGTATTTTTATTTAAATTAAATAAATAAATGGATTTTTGAGAAATAAAGAAAAAGAAAGAAGAATAGTAAAAGAACAAGAATAAGAATTTTATTTCAAAATATTCACCCATGCAATATTTTTTTTGTCGTCAAGTCACCTTTATTTGTAAAGCGCTTTATGCAATACTGAATGTCAAAGCAGGTTTACAGTGTTAAACAGGAAAATAGTTTGCCAATAATATTTTTCAGCTAAAGTCATTTTTTTTTTTCAAACATTTTTGTGTGCCTAATATGTTGAAAATATAGAAATGCTTCTTGTATTGTCACATTCAGTTGTGAATTACATGAATCACATAAATGACTATATTTTCAGTTCAGTATTTTCAATTCAAACGGCAAAATTTGACAGAAAAGTGAATACTATTGTTTATTTTTATAAACACCAGAAAAAATAACAATATAAGAGCAAAACACAGTTAAGTCTAGTCTAGTGTAGCACCTGCTGCTCTGCACATTGTTCCAAAAGATCCCAACAAGGGTGTTAACGTGGAAACAGTCAAATGAAGGCAATGCCATGTCATTTTTATTTAATCTGTTGGCGACTGTGGTGTGTGATTTGTGAGACATCTCGGTAATTTAACATGAAATGCTGTTGCTTAGATGCAAGCAACATACATGCTTGAAGAAATAGACAGAACAAAAGCTGTCAAAGCTGCATGTTTGAGAAGCTCAACCACTGATGGCACATCCACTGATAAACATGGTGCAAGAGCTTTTCAGACAAAGAAAAAAAAATGATGTGAATAAACCAAAATAGCCACATCAGGAGGTCTTCTTGTGTGTAGTTCGCTTTAAAACTATGGTGTGGTTTGTAAAATGGTCTGAAGGTGCACATTATTTTGATATTTATTTTCATAAATCCAAATAGGTTACCAATTGCTGGTAAAATTGACCATTTACCAGCAAATTAGGTTGGTGGGCAAAACAGATAATTTATTAATTTATTTACCTGATCCCAATTTTATAAGTCAATTTTGTTCAAGTGGTTTAGGCTGAATTAATTGCAGAAAATGATGTAAGAAAAAGAAGATGAATTAATTGCAGAAAATGATGTAAGAAAAAGAAGAAATGCTAAACAATTTCAAAACAGTATTGCATTGCAAGCACTGTAATGCTAAATGGTGTACAAGCCTATGTTAGTGGTATGGCTACACAGAGCATTATGGCTATACAGAATTGAAACTGTAACACACAAACCCCCAGCTGCTACTCAAATGCTGTGGATTGCAGTTCAATGACTTAAAGTACTGTAGGCAGTTCTAATTAGGCTTCGATCACTAACAGCCTTAAATAAAGAAATACAAAGACAGATCTTCAGTTTGCACTTAATAACGGCCATTCCTCTAATAGATCAGCTGTAGTCTTTAGAGTCAATCTATATACCTATCCACCTGTCTATACTACTCCATAGGTATTTTGATGGCATGCCATAAATTATCCAGTTCTTAAACATGATGCAAAAGCAATTGTTTCAAATAGCACACACACAGTGTTTTTTCCTTGTATTGCTGAGGCACTGAGCAGCAGAAGTCAGTTATTAGTCTGGTTAGATTCTCTCTGTCCTCTCCAGTCATTCAACTCCCAGAAGAGCACCATCCTCAATGATGTTCACTTGTACTGTGTCAGTGCCACTGCTGCTCCAGCTGCCGGCAAAAACTCTACAGGAGCTTACACACATATCAGCATGTGATGCCAGAAGCTTTAGAGTGTAGGCTTCAGTGTATACACATCTAAAGCCAGATTTACTAACAGCTTGCACCAGCGCAAACCCTCTTTTGGCAGTAAAAAACTGCTGTCAGGGTTTACTAAAGACATGCAGTGAAAAATTTGTGATAAAGTCATTTTTGTTGCTGACCTTATTGCATATGCAGTTGTAGGAAAATTGATGGGAAGAGACTATTTAATTGAAGTATGTATAGAGATTTACTAGAATTTGCGGTAGTCAATTTACTGTTTTTTTGGATTTTGGCAGAACTTCCCACTCCCATCAGTGCTTTTATGGGATTGTGGTCTCACGGTAAGTTGCCTTGTTTAGTAAATCTAGCCCTAGGTATGCTACTATTTTTTAGAACACAAAAGGGTACATTTTGAATGTTCATACAGCTCTTTTTAAGGTTTCAGTGGACATGGAAAATACAAGGGAAGGCAGGACTATGACTATTTATAAAACTAGAACAGGCTCCATAGAGGAGCTATCGCTATGAGAGTGATATGTGTTTACAATACTCGGCAGTCTGTAATGGTTTGAGTGTAGCTTATGTAATGTGTGTGATAGGTTTCAGGTGAGCTTGTGATTAGTGCATTGGAGCATGGGAAATGTAGTCCAGTGTAGCGTCTGCGTAGGATCATGCTGGAGTGTTGGACTGTTTATGGCTTAAAAGACCCTTTTAGCCTTTTGACATTTGCATATAAATTACAGTTCTGGTCAGAGATGTTACTTGTATAGGGGTTGTAAATTGCCAAATGGTTCTTCGCCGTCAAAAACAAATAATTGTAATATTGATTCTGCTACAGTTAATTCGAAGATATAATCTAAATATTTATTATGAATCATAACCATTTATGATTCGTCATAAATATTCCCCTTTTTAGAGCTAATAAATAATAATAAACGTTACACCAGAGTGATGTGTAACAGTTTGTGTAGCGTGAGAGTCAATGTAATCAGAAAGGGTGACCTCTGGTGCCAATCGGACGGAAGTCCATGGACAGGATTTGTGACAATTTCAGGGAATTTTAGAATTGGGATTTGCAGTTATGTATATTGTGGTGTATGCAAATTTCTAATATTGTTTTTTTTTTCTTATCTTTTCATATTCATGTTCATTATTTATACATTATTATTCATTATGAGTTATTCTTTTTTTATTCTT